TCAAATGATGTGCTTTACTGAAATGACGTGTGTACAGGAGACTGCAAAACCATCTTAACTGAATGGGTTTAAATAATTATTTTAGAACAATTCTATATGTAATACATTTCTTAAAGTTAAATTTGAATTCTTTGTGTACTTCCTTCAGTCTGCTTAGAAGTACAGTAAAGTTTCACTAAAAAGTAAAAAAATAATGAGAAAAAAAAGTTCCCAGAAACTTTCAAATCTGAACACATACATAACTGTACGTATATTATGAAAATATTTCTATCCAAGTCCACATATTTCTCCCAAGAGGAAGATTTCTTTTCTTTGATGTTGTTAACAAAGAACAACTACCACAGTTCATGTTTTGCTGTGTAAAATAAATCAAGTCAAGGAGAAGTCAAATATGTGAGTTGATACCAAGATCCAGTAACTGGAAAACTGATAGTTCTCAGTATTGGCAAGAGTTAATTGTGAAAACAACTGCACACATTACAGCTGAATGTAAATGGGTGCCAATTGACTGGAAAATCATTTGGCAATGCATATCATAATTTTTTCAGAAAAAAAGCATAAATTTATACTTCTTCATCACAAACCCCATTCAGTGATAGCAAAGGAATTTTTAAATGTGGAAGTCCACAATAATGAAGAAAAAGGAAAAGAGGGCCTCAGTTTTTAGAAGAAGGAAAGTGGAAGAGGATTTACTGAAAAGAAGTTAGGAAAAGAAGACAAAAGAAGCAAAGAATAAATACAACTCAAAATGGTAAACATGACCCAGTAATATCAATAATCACATTAAATGTAGATAGACTAATCACAGCAGTATTTACAATAGCCAAGATATGGAAACAACCTAAGTTTCCATCAGTAGGTGAGTGGATAAAGAAGAGGTGGTATATATACACAATGGAATATTTTTCAGCCATAAGAAAAACAAACCCTACCATTTGCAACAACATGGATGGAGCTAGAGGGTATTATGCTAGAGGGTATAATGTGAAACCAGGCAGAGAAAGACAAGTTCCAAATGATTTCCCTCATTTGTGGAGTGTAACAACAAAGCAAAACTGAAGGAACAAAACAGCAGCAGACCTACAGACTCCAAGAAGGGACTTACCAAAGGAGGAGGGGTTAGGGAGAGTGGGTGGAGAAGGAGAAGGGGATTAAGGGGCACTATAATTAGCAATCACAATATAGATAGGTCATGGAGAAGGCAGTACAGCATGGAGAAGACAAGTAATAACTCGATAGCATCTTACTACACTGATAGACAGTGACTGCAATGGTGGGTAGGGGCAGTGAGGACTTCTTAATATGGGTGAATGTTGAAACCACCATGTTGTTTATGTGAAACCTTCATAAGATTGCATATGAATGATACCTGAATTTTAAAAAATGTAGATGGACTAAAAGCTAATTATAAGGCAGAGGTTGACAGACTGGATAAAAGAGCAAGACCCAACTATGCTTATTACAAGAGATAGACTTTACATATAAAGACAGAGTCTTCCATTGCTTTTTCATATTTTACATACCAGTTGTTAAGGGGGAAGAGACATTGTCCCATTTATCTCCTATGACTAAGCCAGGGCTTGCACATAGTAGGGACTTCATACATATCTGTTGAGTTAAAGTGAATCAGAAACCAGAACAATACTTAAGAAGTTATATACCGTCTATGTTAGGATTTAGTAAGTATTTTTAATACAAGGAAGGTCAGGTAATAGTTAAATTCAAAAGTATATAAGCTTCTAGGAGCCATTTTTAGATATATGAATAAGGATTAAATTAAAATATATATAATTTTTATTAAAATCTGAGCCAATTGGTTGTTTCCAGAGATAATTTTTCTTTCTGAGATTCAGCTACTTTGGTTCAAATATTTGATGAATGTTGGATAAAGACACAGCCAGAGACTCATATCAAGCTAGGCTCCCTGTAACGGAATGGACGTAGGAATGCCTAGTACCAAAGTAATGCTGATTCATTCATCCACTCGCTCCTCCATTCAGTGCTCATCACATACCTACTAGGCACCGGGTATATAGTGATGAACAAGATGTACATTGTACTCTGTTGCCACTTTTGTCGTGTAGAAATCTCAGAGGATATTTTAAGGTTTCACTAAAATCAATACTCTCTCAGTCCAGAATATAGATTAGTAATGGTTAGACCAACAATCTCATGCTCCTTCTGGTTTATATTAGTGCTATCCAATAGAAATGTAATGTGAGCTATGCATGTGATTTTAAAATTTCTAGTAGCCCCACTAAAAATCTGAAAAGAAACAGGTGAATTAGATTGGGTAATATGTTTTATCTAAATATATCCAAGATACTATTTTAACATGTGATCAGTATTTTTTAAATTATCAGAGAAACAATTTTAATTCTTTTTTTGGTACTAATTCTTCAAATTTCAGGGGGGTATTTTACACTTACAACATGTCTCAATTCAGACAAGTCACATTTCAAGTGTGCAATAGGCACATGTGGCTAGTGGCTACCTTATTTGGGCAATGAAAGGAATCATCTCCAAGTCAGCTATCATATATCGAAGTTTACAAGTGGATTCTAGAAAGATAATGAACTGATGGTACTTCTGGCCTGTAATGTTAGAGGAATATAGCTTTATTCAGGAAATAACTCCTATTATTGCTAGAAATACAGGATTTGTGGTCAAGATGAACCTAATTCTGTTATAGCTGAATAAGCCTCCACCAATTTTCATCTGAAAGAACCTCAGAGTCTTGCTGTATTTGGAGACAGATCTGTGCAGCCAATGTGCAAATATATCCTAGTAGTCTTTGAGAATTTCAACTCTTACCAGTGTTCAATCATTACACCAATAATGAGACAGCTTTTCAGGACCCTAAAAAATACTGCTAAACTTCTCAATAAATATTTGGTGGACTGAATGAGTAAATGAACCAATAGCCCACATGTAAGTTCTCTGATACACAAGCAGAGTATTTTCAGCTCTAGCTCAATTATATTCTCGTCTTCCATTTAAAATCCTTTTGCATTTGAAATAATTTTTTCTTCTATTCTAAGGTCATTTTGTCAATTAGGCTATAGTATAATTCCCCTAAGGCTATAGTATAATTCCCCTATTTTCAAGAATAAGACTAATTTACCACAACATATACAGTGCTGTGTGTTTTAGATTCTTAATTTATAATGTTTAATCAAGGCTGAATCTTAACTATGATTTAGAGAAGAAATGAGTTGGAACCAGCCTATACGTAATCACTGTTTTAACAGAACATTTACAGAGTCATCAAAAAATGAGTTGTTTGTCTTTCTCAATAGTTTCTCCAGGTAGGTGGTGCCACCCATCTTTACCCCAGCAGAACCACCCTGCGAGTAGAATCCTGGGCCCAGTGCTGAGTGAGAATCTCTGAAAGGGGTGTCTGGGAGTTTGTATTTGTAGTGAGTACTAAGGGAGAACTCATGCGCACTGAAGTTTGACAACTACTGCCCTACCATGAATTCCATTTAAATCTGTCTCATTACTGGAGGGAATGCTCTTTTCATCACTTAATTACTTCATTCACACCTTTGCTGAACATTTCATTGTGTACTGTAAATTTCTCTTTAAGTAAATTTTAGAGAGGAATCATCATTCAGCCCATGAAAGTATGTTGTGCTGTCTTGATACATAAGTTATGAATGATGTATTCAACTAAAGTCAATTTACACTTATCATAAGTGGGGTAATGTCTAAAATCAAATTGACTAGGACCCAGATTATATTTTGCACTTTCTGAGTGTAGTCTCTCTGGAATATTTGTGATATGTTGGGAAAAATGTTTTTTGTTTCTTATTTTTTCTATGAAATGATTTTAAGTGTATTTTTGTTCAGTCACAGTTCTACAGATAGAGACAAGCACTAGGGCTTCAAAAATGAATCCAATTTTAGTATTTGCCGTTGAGGGAATCATAGGCTCTTCAAGGCAGGGGCAAGGAATAGACATTTAAGCCTGTGTTCAAATACAGTACACCTAGTTTTTAAGGGGTACCATGGGAGTAGAGAGAAGTGAGGAAGGCTAAAAAGAGTCTGGGCTTTATATAGATGACGTGCTCTGGGTGGGAGCCAGTCAGCCAAAAAAGCGAAGTCATTCCCACAGGGTCAGTCAGGACAGAGGGAAGATCAGAACATGGTTCTCCCAGACCCGAGCCTGCACTCTTCTACCACACCCAGCCTTCTATAAGAATCTGGCCTTCAGAAGCACAGTGACTTCCCTTTTTTCACACCAAAGCTCCCCTGGTTGTAAGAAAGATGTTAAGGGTGATTCATTTCCTTTTCAGGCCACTAAGGTGCTATTTAATTCACTCCAGCAATAACTAAATAGAAACCTACCTTTAAAAGATGTCAAAAGCAACATGCTGCTAATTTATTGCCACATCTATTAAAACTCCAGAGAGAATCTGACTCCCTAGATTTTAAATATAGTTGAGATATGATGATGATGTTTCCTGATTTAATCCCTCCACAAATTAGATGAAATTATTACAATACCTCTTGTCACTTCATTCTTGCTCTATCTCCAATCATTCTTCTGCCTTCATTAATTCAGAGTAAAATATCACAAGACATTAATGGAACACTTGGAGGCAGGAAGGCTACTTTTTTATAGCCTCAATATGAAATTGTACTGCAAGATGCCTAAGATAAAGTAAAACCCTGTTTGTCTCACCTTCCTGGATAGTTACAGGCGAGGAAACCAAGGCTCTGAGACGTAAAGTGACTTGCCTAGGGTCACCCTGAAAGTGATTACCAGAGCCAAAGCACTCACCCAGGTCTTCTGACTCCAAGTCCAAGGCTCTTCATATTTCTAGTATATCCTTTAGTCTTCTGGGGATAGTTAAAACAGTTTCTCTACTGTTTGCAATGAAAGGCATTATTGCCAACATGTAAACCCAAACAAAAATCTTGGCATCCCCCCATTACTTCATCATCAGTGTTTTTAGTGTATCACTTCACAGTCATTATTTGGTGTTTTCTTACAGAAGGCAACAGACCACTGCAACAGAAACTATCCTTAGATGGGATCCCCAAAGCTATACATGGAACACCAGAGAGGTCAGATGGCCTACAGTGGTCAGCTGAGCAGCCTTGTAACCCAAGCAAGCCTAAGCCAAAAACATCTCCTGTTAAGTTCAATGCCCCTGCAGCTCATCTTGAAATAAAGCCAGATGAGTTGGCAAAGAAAAGAGGTAAAGTGATTTCTTTTGCACAAATGATTCACCATATTTTGCACACACAGAGAAGTGCCAGAATGACAGACCTTTCCAAATGATGCTGCTTGGTGAAGAGAGATACACGTGAAAGTACCTTTCTTTTTGTGACCCACATGGATTGAAAGAAAGATGTGATCCCTCCCATGTTAATCCAAAGTCTTGAGTGTTTAAGAGAAATCACATCCCCTTTCTCTGCCCCACTGTGGCCACTCTTCTCTTTGTAGGCATGGGTGAATTTGCACCACAGATACTTTCTGCCGTGATACCTTATAAAGCAAATGTTAATGCAAGAGCTCTTTTAGAAATGCAAATGCTGAGTGTTTTCCTGATACACAGGTACTTACCTTGCATTAAATGAAGATGAGTCTGGAGGCTAATATGTCTTCTTCAGGTATGATGGACACATAAGTTCAGTTCTGTGTTAGAACTTCAGGCAACATAACACTGCAAGAGGGTTTCATATTTGACACACTGTTTTTATTATTTTTTTCACTTTGATATACTTTATATGTAACTGCTGTTAAAAATGAAAGGGGCTAAATCACTTCCTTTCTGATTCCCAGATTAGCATTCTTTTCATGCAGCCTCTGCTGTATCTGATTTGCTTGGTTTCAGTTTGATATACTCTCCCATTTTTCTGGAAGGAGAGTTCTTTCTTCTCAGAAACATGGCCTTGTTGGGATAAGAACAGTTTGCCTATTTGCCCTGCACTATCTGTAACTATGGTGACAGTTTCAGGAAATCAGGCGAGCTTGGTGCCCCGAGAGCTTCTTTAAGTGCTGCGGCTACAATTACAGGCCTGGCTCAGGACTGATGGGGCCAAAGCCAAAGTACCTGGCACCAGTGCTCCATCCTCCCAAGCTCATCTGCACGTCTCCCAGTCTCTGTGTAACCTTCCTCTCCAGAAGCCCTGCTGGCTTTTAACCACATGGAAGTGGTGTTGACACAGAGAGCCAGCAGCACAAATGGCCTTTAGACATATTAGATTCTAAGAAACTGCAGTTTGTAATAGAACATAATGATCAGAGCCTCCCACCCAAGAGCAAAGGAGACAAGTGTGCTCCTACTGCCCGCCCCCACCCCCTGCCAAGAGACCACCCCACCCCCCCACCCGGTGAAACCCCAGCCACCTCAGGGGCCATACAAACCACTCACTCTGGCTTTTAAATACTGGGTTATAAACAACCTCTTGAAAAACAAAAAATAAATCTCTTTCTTTTTATTGGCCAGGAGTGAGTTAGTTGCTTTCTGGTTGATGTTTAGCTCACAAATAAAAAGATAAAATATTCAAGTTAATAGTTTTTTTTCCTTGACATTAATTTTAGGCCCAAATATTGAGAAATCAGTGAAGGATTTGCAGCGCTGCACTGTGTCTCTCACTAGATACCGTGTCATGATCAAGGAAGAAGTGGATAGTTCAGTGAAGAAAATCAAAGCTGCCTTCGCTGAATTACACAACTGGTAAGTAATTTGACTTAGAAACCATAAATGTGTGGCACTTGAGCTGTTCCTACAGGTAAAAGCATCAGATGGAAATCGTTGTTTATTTAATACATAAACATCACAGAACCACCCTTCAGCAAATTTTTTAAAGCCCTGCAAGCAGAGGCATATATATCTTGGAAATAAAAAAGAAGAGAAAGTGTTTGAATAAAAAGAAACCTCATACACATAATTCATTAGAGTTTGAAGTTGACTCAAAAGTATGTGAATGATGTAGAACACAATCTCAACAAAGAACAAAAAAGACGATATTTTTGACAAATCTCTGGAAGGTTTTGCTACTAAGAAAATATATTTTCCAGCCTTATCATTATAAAATAAGAAAAAATCCCTTAGCAAAACTCAATAATATCTTATGTGAATCCAGTGATAGAATCCCATTCTTGAGTAACTTTAAAACTGAAATTAAGAAATAGTACCCCGATGTGGTTTGGGTCCTGCCTGCCCAGCTCTGTCCCACTCTGCAATTATTTTGATGGAAGACATTTCTTTGAGCTCTGTGTATTTGCTCATGTCCACAAATGGAATGAAGTATCTGTTAGCAAAGATTAAGTTATTATCAGTAGAAAAATGTTCTCACTATCAATCAAGACTCAGTTTCAAATGACAGAAACTCAAGTCCACTAGTTAATGACAAAGGGGATTTATTGGCTGTTGCACGTGAAAATTCCAGAAGATCCCTGTAGGCCCTCTGGTTCTAAGCCCAAAGTGTTACTAGGATTCAGTTTCTCTCTCTCTCCCCTCCCCTCCCTTTCTTCCTTCCTGCTCCTCTCCCTCCTTTCCTCTCTCAGGGTCTCCCACAATCTCCTGGTTTTGCTTATTTTTGGCTTCATTTTTAGGCATGATCTCTCCATGTGGCAGTGAAGATGACCCTGGCAGCTCCAGGCTTTTATAATCCCCAGTGCCTGTGATCTGAGAGGGAACTTTATCCCCAGCAGTCCAACAAAAGCCCAAGAGCCAGCTCCAATTGGCTGGGTGGCTCATGTATCTGTCTCTAGGCCAGTCTCTGTGGCTAGTCTCTTCCCACTAACCAGTCAGAGTCCTGTGCCTGTCACAGAGTTACTGGTGGTGTGAACCCCACCTTAAGCCCCTGAACTGAGAGTTGAAGAGCTAGGATTCCCCAGAGGGAAATCAAGACTCTAAAGAGACAAAATCTAAGACAAAACACACATCCGTAATGCTCAGACTCAGATAACTTGTACTTGTTCCCTGTTCTATCATTGGCCTCCCAGTGATTTCAGAATTTGGTCACATCTTCTGCATATTTTTCCTCTCCAAGTCCTTCTTTTGACACTGATGTGCTTTGTAGCTGATTATAGAGTCATGTAAAAGTAAGGATCACGCTTAACACTAACAATTTAAAATTCTTGCATTTTAAACCATCTACTGCATATAAGATCCCAAGGGTGCATAAGACATCAGGGACTCGAAAGAAAACCAAATCCTTTCATTCAATTCAGTGAAGAATCATTTACCACCACCCTGTCACAGCACCGTGACCCTAATGGGATTCTTCTCTGTTTTATGAGATTGTAACCTTACTGTTTGTTCAACACAAACTCCACGAATATGTTTAGAAGTACTTAGAGAAGGTAAAGATGCTGTACAAATGAAAGGTGTTATCATTGTTGGTGGTGGTGGTGGTGGTTTTCAAATGTTAACAGTTCTGTGACCTTTCCAATCTATCCTTCAGTTACTCTAATACATATGTATAGAGACACTCAACTTCCCAGCCTGTCCTCTAGAGCCAGAGTCAGCAAACTGTGTCTGTAAAGCGCCAGCTAGTAAATACCTTAAGCTTTACAGGCTCTAATGTCTCCATGCAGCTGCTCAGCTCCAGTGTTACAGCCTGAAAGCAGCCGGAGGTAATGCAGAAAGGCAGGGGGCCAGATTTGGCTCATGGGGGTCGTAGTTTGCCAGCCTCTGTCTGGAGGCATTAGTTAGCTGCTCAGAGAAGACCACTCTGTCTGACCCTGTTGTGTGGCATTTTAGAACAAACTCTTCCTCTGAGGCTCTGTGCGATACCTTCCATCTGAGTGACTCACATCCAATTGACAAAGTGTAGCGGTGACCTCAGATTACTTCTTCCCTCTAGCTGCAATGTGTTCTTTTATTTTTTTTATTTTATTTCCTTAGTAAATGAACATCACATGGGTCACAAGACAGCTTGAGATTTATAACAGATATTTTGAGTGTTTTACTCCTCAAAAGCTGAGAGTGTGGGGCTAAGGAAGTCAGCACCCAGGGAACTTGTATATCTTTCCTCTGCATGTAATTCACAGTTTATTTTAAACTGATGGGAAGGATCACTTCTCAATGAGCTCTGCCAAGTACTACTACTGTGTAAAAGTCACCTACTTGAGAAAATGGCACTTTTTCTCCAAACTAAAGAAGAAAACATTGAGATCAACCATTTTCTGTATGATATTGCTACAAAATGAAAAAATACCAGCACGTTTTCTTATCCAGTCCTTAATAAAAATGATCCTAATCATTACATAAATGTTAACTTAAAAAAAAAGCATTTTTTATCAGCCATTAACATGCATTTCTGCCAAATGGAAAAACTTTGCCTCTGTTCCAAATAAGCCTGCAGCCCAGCCAACATGAGGATGTACTTGAATAAAGCCTCCCTCTTGCCTCTGAGGAGGAGGGAAGGAGGAATTTCAGGGATGTGGTGCTCTTAAAAAACAGCAGGTCACAGAATTGAAGAAGGCAGCTTAAATGTTTAAAAAAATGAAGCTTTCCTATTGGTGGTAAAATCACCACCTCTGGGCATTAGAGAATTTAAATGCAGCGCCATTCATTTAATACAATGGAAAACTTCAGGATTACCTTGGAACGCATATCCAGCTTTGGAGGGTGTGGGCCATCATCTGGAGATTTCCAGAAAGAGTGCTGGTTCTGAGACAGATGCCCAGTCTTTGGGTGCACAGGCCACCATGCCCTCCTAGCTCTGCTCCTCTCCTTCCTTCAGGCTGCTCGGCTCTGCCGCAGTCGTTCAGCCGGCATTGCGTGTAGTTCAGAAGCAAATAGAAACACTCAGGTAAGATATTCTAAACACTCACTTTGCTACCCAAGGGCCAGCCTCAGGAGATGATCCAGGCTGAATTCCCCCCAAACCCTGCTGGAATTCATGGGAGTGACAGATTTTGTGAGGCTGGGAGAACGCCCTTGTTTGTACATGCTTAGAACCAAGTGAGTAAAGTCAACTAAACACTCTCCTTTCCAGTCTGGCTGTGAAGAATAGTTTATTCAGTACAATTATTGGAGAAAACCATTAACTAGCTAAATTATAATGTCAAAGTTGGCATTTAACATAGGACACAGTTACACAGGGGCTGAACGACCATTACATGGATCATTCCCATTTTTCCAGAAAGAATTGGGTATTTGAGAGGGGAGCAAAGATGACACAATGCTCTCACAATATGTCTTAACAGAAAATAAATTTTGTAGCACAAGCGGCTGTGTGAAAAGTCACATCAGAGAGTAACATGAAACAGCTGCTTTCTGCACGCTTGGCCCCCTACCACAACTGGAGAACACTCATCCTTTGGTGTCATAGCTGCCAGATTTAATGGCTTTGTGTGCAAACTAGTCCAGCTTCTCATCAGAAATCGGTGTGTGTGTGTGCGTGTCCAAGTTGGCGGTAAAGGCTTAAAATGAGCCATGAAACATCAAATTCAAAAAATATTGAGGGAAGAGAGTAATATTGGATAGTTCTGCGATATGCTGGGAGAGAAAGGATTCTGAAACAGCACTGTAAAAATTGTTAGGTGCTATTGTCCATTTGATATCTAATTAAAAGTACCCCCACCCCTAAAGAAAATAGAAGATGGTAGTGAGGCAGAGGGGTAGAGAGTGCACCCAGGGGCTGGAGGGGACAGTATTTTTAGGCTGCTTTGCTTTCGAATAGGAAAGAGAGATAGTCAAAGCATGCATTCTGTACAGAGGGGCCAGATGTTCCTGTACCTCATGGTATTTTTTTTCCTGAAGCAGTGCCAGGTCTCGATTAAGCAAAATTTGGACTAGGTCAGGAGTTTCAGCAACTCCTAGGGGAAGCACTTGCCCGCTACCCCTTCGCTGCCTACTTTCTCTCTACCCTGGCGTTTCCTCCCTCACAGCAAAGACGGGAAGCTCCTGCTGTCCCCAACAGGCCAGGGGATCCCCCATGATGTCCCTCTCTGCAGGACAGCCACTTGTCATGGAGTCCCCACGTCCCTATCCCCTTCTCCTCTTTAACCACTGAGACTCACTATTGTGTCATGATGACCTCATCCTGTTGACGGCCATGGGTCCCCCTTCCCAAAGTGACATATTTACATGTTAACAAATGGTAACAGAGTCTGTTGAGAGTCTCTCAAACAAGTAACTCGAAAGGAAGAATTTCAGGCTGAAGAAAAAGCTATTTTGAAATAAGTATATCCTCTTCCAGCCTCCCTCAAATCCCACTCCAAAACAGGCCTCTCATCTGCTCTGGAAGCGCTGGTGGTGGCCAAGCAAAACCACACACAGACCCCCGAATGGTCAGCAGGCGGCCCCACACACAGACCAGATAGCATCACTGTGACATTTCTGATAGTGTGTCCTTACCCTGGGATGTGGGCTGGAGGCCTCGCAAGGGGGACAATGCCAGGGGCCTCTTGCATTTCAGAAGAGGCAATGCAGCAACGTGTCCCACATCCCAGCTTGCTGCTCCTTGGGTGCCCAAATAATGTCAAATTCTTGGGGGCAGCCTTGGAACAACTTCCATTTGAGTCCAAATAAAAGAGGGTCTCTTCTTTGGCTCGTTTATCACATAGCAGGATTCTTTCCTCATTGGTCGGTTCCCCCAGCTGTTCCCTGAGCTTTTAACGCTTTTTGGTTAATACCTGGCTTTCTATCTAATGCTAAACACCTGGTTTTTCTCTGCTCTTTGGGCATTTTATTTGTTCTCTTTGTGAATTACTTAACAT